TGCTTTAATTAATAGGCTATTGATTGGTATTTTTTTTTTGTTTATATAGAAAAGGATTTTTATCATGACAGCTGCTAAAGAACAAGAGTATACTTCAGTGTATATTTGGCTTGATTCCAATGCTAATTCAAATAGCCAAAGTGCAATAAAAGTTAAAAAAAAGTTAATAGCCAAACTTGAAAATTTAAAAACATTTAGCGATATTAATGAATTTGAAGAATTTATTGAAACATATGATGATGAAAATATTTTACTTATTGTATCTGGCTCATATGGACGACAAATCGTACCGCAAATACATAATTTACCGCAATTATTTGCTGTCTATGTTTATTGTTCGGATAGAGTACGAAATTTAGAATGGGCAAAACAATACACAAAAGTATGTTCATTACAAACAAACACATTGACGTGCTTCACAGCTTTTTACTGCTACATTTTGCAGAGACCATGAGTATGCTTAAGTTTTTAAAAATTTGACGCCAATGAACTCACTGAAAGGAGTTCTAGTAGTGTTCTATAAAGTTTGAACAAAACATTTAAATTACATCTCTATATGTCTGATTGGTGGCAGGGGTATATACTCGAAAAAATACTCTACGATATCTTTATGCAAAAAATCAAAATAAGTAATGTCAGTTATTTTCTGAAAGATAGAGAATGTTCCAGTTTATTCTTTCAAGAAAATGTATCGCCTACAAATTTCATCATTTTCATCATAGATGCTATAAATAGATTCACTAAAAATATCTTTCACAAAGTCAAACTTACTTTTCAGCACTTTGAAAACATCAAAACAGGAAAGTCCACTAAAAGTCGATTGTTGGTTACAACGTTTGTGAAAATCGGCATTGTCTCAGTTTAAATGTTCCCAGTTAAGTATTAAGCAAGATAATCGGTCAAAATTTTCCAAGGCTAGTGTATGGCCTAAGTGTTATAGGCATCAATTTGATGAATGAAACTTCTTTCTTCACAGCTATGCCTCTCATCATAGTGAGGTATGGTATCTCTTTTTCATTTTAAGTCTCCCGATTCTTTATACAAGAGAGATTACATTTATCAAAACATACCGATTGTAAAAGGTTGTGCGCCCTGATACGTGAAGCTCATTATGAATCTCGATGGAATTCTCCTTTTACAAGGTTTTCATCTTATCACTGATGTTAAATTTCTTTTCTCCATTAGCTGTCGTATTCTATCTTTTATTATTAGGTTCAGGAAGTGACTACTGATCTTGATAAGCTAATTGAACGAATTTTATCCGAATCCGTGTCAATACCTATCACGCATTCATCGGCCTCTCAACCTGAGAATTCAATCGATCAAGATATTATTTGGTTTCGTCTTTTTCTTGAAATATTTATTCGTATGAATGATACTGAGGAAGCGAAAAAAGACATGCTGAAGTTTTGGAGAGAGATGACTGACGAGAATTTGCACGAGTTTAAAATTGTCGATGAGTTTGACAAGTGTTTCGAACCGTCACGCGCTCTATGGTGGTATTCTAGAGAATGTGAAATATATAAGCTTATTAATAGAGCTATGCGTTCCAGAAATTACAATAATATGTACGCACTTCGTTTTATAATTAAGTATATTTATCTACAACTGAAACAAGAAAATCCGCGATTTTTAAGAAACCTCAACCGTAGTTCTTTCATGGTCTATAGAGCACAGTATATGGAGAAGAAGGAATTTCAATCTTTCAAGACCGGTGTTGGATCAGTATGGGGAGTTAACTCATTTTTTAGCACTACACTGAACCGGCAGGTCGCTGAGAATTTCATTAAAATGTCAACACATGATCAAAGGATTCCAGTAGCGCTACACATCGAAGTCAATACTAAAAAGATGACCCTACCTTATGCTGATATAAGCAAACTGTCCTATTATCCTAACGAAGAAGAAATATTATTCATGTTTGGTACCATCTTTCAAATAGATGAAGCATGTTGCAATGAAAGGCCTGAAATATCGATAATTAAGCTTTCGATTTGTGAAGAAGATGATCCTCGACTTAAAGATATGGTCGATTATATAAAGCATGAAATAAAAGATAATCCTGATTCAGTTACATTAGCTGATTTATTCATTAAAATGGGTGATTATGATAATGCAAAACAATTCTATTCTATATATCAAAATCAATTATCGACGAACAATCCAAATTTAAGACGCGTTTGGCAAGGTCTATCAACTGTATCTGATATTGAAGGAAATTATTACATATCAATGGACGAATATATGAAAGCACATGAATGTTTTAATGAACAATTAAAATTATGTCAAAATTTACCTAGTCATCATCCTCAATATGGAAAATGTTATGCAAACATTGCGAACTTATACGAACTTGAAGGACAAAAACATTTGGCTTTGGAAAATTATCAGAAAGCATATAAAATTTACACACAATCACTTCCAGCTTATCATCCAGATACAACAAAAGTTGAACAATCCATTGAAAATTTATCACCGCGTAATTTTTCACGCAATTTTCTTTAATACTATTAAACTAACTTTATTTCAGAAAACAAAACAACGACGCAAACATCTAATCAAGCGACTACCGTTCAAATGTCTGGAGAAAATTCAGAAAACAATACAAATATTGAAACATTTCTCATCGTATGGCTAGATGCCAATGTCAATAAAACACAAGATAACGAAGAAACATACAAAGGTCTACGTGCAAGTGTTAACAACCTTCACAAATTTGATAATTTACAAGAAGGTGAAACGTATGTCCGAAGTATTCGACGTGAAAAAATTATCTTAATTGTATCGGGCGGTTACGGGATAGAAATCGTACCACGAATTCATGATCTTGTTCAAGTAAACTGTATCTATGTTTATTGCAGTGATAAAGCACGTCATGAAGCATGGTCAAAAAACTATTCAAAGGTTAGTTTTTACTTCAGAAAATAAAGTCACACAAGACTAAATAAGAATTAAAGGTAATATTTCTCTATTAGATACGATCAGTGATTATCAAGCGAAACGATTTAGTTGAACAAGTCACTGAAGATCAAAAGATTCGTAACATAACTGAAGATGTTGTTCCAATGAGTATTCTTAAACGTACAGCTGTGACTAAAGAAGCAACAGCTAAAGATATTTCCAAAGAAATGGGTTCAATTTTATGGTTTCAGTTATTAGTCGATGTTCTACTCCGTATGACACACAGTGATGATGCTAAGAGAGAGCTAATGAAAACATGGTGTAAGAATTATGTTGGAAATTCTTCTGAGTTACATATTATCAAACAGTTTGAACATGAATATAAGCGTGAGAAGGCTGTTTGGTGGTATACTCGCGAGTCATCGCTATATCGTATATTAAACAAAGCTTTGAGAGAACAATCGATTGATATGATATTTGCATTTCGGTTTTTTCTAACGGAACTATTTGAACAAGTTTCACAATTATATAGATCAATGAAAATCAATGATAAAAATATCATTCATGTTTATCGTGGACAAGTTATCGCCAAGGAAGAACTTGAACAAATGCAATCGAGTATTGGTGGCTTTATTTCGATTAATAGTTTTTTCTCAACAAGTCGAAGTGAAACAAAAGCACGAAATTTTGCTAAGCAAGCGAAAATTACGGAGAGCCTCCGTCGTATTTTATTTCGAATTGAAATTGATCCTCGGCTACCAACAAAACCTTTTGCTGATATTGAAGGAATTAGTTTTTATCCAAATGAACGAGAAATCTTATTTATGCTTGGATCAATATTTCGTATCAATAAAATTCATGATGATGATAAAGATGAATTATCCATAATAAATATGAGTCTTTGTAGTGAAGATGATTTTGAATTAAAAGAATTATTCGCATATTTAAAAAAAGATATTGGAGAAGAAGCATCGATGGTAACATTAGGAAATATTCTACTTCAAATGGGTGAATATGATAAAGCTGAACGAATATTTTTACGATTGAATCATGAAGAAGGTCTCATTAGTGTTGCTGAACTCAAAGGAAACTTTTATTTAGCAATGAAACAATACAAACGTGCTATTGAATATTATGAACAATCATTAGAATTTCGTCAAAAATCATTGCCTGCATCACATCAAGATATTGCGAAGAGTCTTACTTCAATTGCAATGGCCTATGAATTTTGGAAGAAATATCCAAAAGCCATTGATTATTATCAACGTACAATTCAACAATATAATCGTACATTGAAAGATAATCATCCATTGATTACACGAACAAAGAATAGTTTATTAAAAATTCAACATCGAAAAAATTAGTAAACAATCGATTGACATTTTAGAAACAAAAATTTAGTCAGTGTGCTTAAAACGTAGTACTCATAAACGCTTAGCTTCTATACATTTTTAATAAATGATCAGAAAGTTTCTAATTTTGGTTTAGGGATAAAGCATCCTTAATTCATGATCTTTTCAATATTGATCAAGAAAAGCAGGTATTCGCCTAGTGTGTCACGATTAATAATTGACTTCCAGCATATAATTGTGATCATCGCTTTTACATTCATGTTTCTAATTGGTCATTTTGCAGTTATGCACACAATGAAATGCGACCTCTGAGAAAAATTTCGAGAATTTTCTTGTCTTTATTCTTCCATGATTTCTTAAGAACAAAACTTTCATATGCATTCATTAAACATGAGGTTGCTTATAATGAAAAATGTTGATTCCGGCTATACTTATACTCATAGTATATGTGAGCGTTCATTGACTGTTATCGATTTCATGGGTCTGGGGTGTGGGTGTGAGTGTGGGTGTGGGTGGATGCGGCAATGAATAAAGGAAACAAACCCACACCTTGTTCGGTTTCACTCAAAATTATTCATACATCCAATATAAGAATACATGTAAATTCAGAACGTGTGGGTGGGGTGTGGGTGTGGGTGTGGGTGTGGGTGTTGGTGTGGGTGTGGGTGTGTGTGGATGTGGGTGTGGGTGTAGGTGATAGTGAAACAATCTGGAAAACAAACCCACCCACACCCACCCACACCCACCCCCACCAACCCCACCAGCACGCACA